ATGTAAAAATATACAACTGCCGCCATTTTATTCTACAGGGTCTGTGCTTTCAGGAAATATAGAACTCTTGGGGTTTCTAACTAATTTTCGGGCCAGAAATGTGGATTATAACGTGTGCAAAAAAACACATTGGCAGCAAAAGGGTTACAGCAAAATGTACTATCATGTAAACACTACAATAACCCAAATATGAGCCTAATGAAAACACAGCTATTCTTTTCTTTTATAACTCAGCAGATATAGGTTAAGAAAAATGCTGCTAAGTGCAATTTGCTACAATTTGTATAATTTAGCTCAGGTGAAATATTTTAGATTTTAAAAAAAATTAAAAAAAGGTAAAAATGAAACACATCTGTCTACATCAGGAGTAGCCAACTTCGGAGGCAAGATGGGATTCATACTTTACCACAGCTGGAGTGCCGAGGTTGCCTACCCTTGTTCTACAGAGTTACCATGCCTCTAGCTACCAGGTAGTTTATTACAAGTTAAAAACATAAAATTCATTTAAAATAGGACTTGTTTCTTATCATGTTCTTGCCAAGCAGATCTGAAAATGCTTCCTTATCAATCACAATGATGTAGTGGGTGTGCTGCAGACAGGCCTAAGTTTCCAGGCGTCAGACAACAGAAATTATATCTTTACTTTCATGGCAATTGACAACTGATTTTATTACGTAATTATATCAGATTCTTGGGAAACATGCTCATGTTCTCCTTTAAGAGGAAATTGCAAATTGACAGACCAAGTGTTTTATCTTCTATGATATCCGGTGGTTTGTCATATTTGTCATATTTCCAAATGGCTGCACGCGAGGCTGGCCGGTGGTATCTAAAGGGACTGCAGCATGTAGTGTATGTGCTATTCTTTGGAATGAGCTAGTTCATACAAGCCTCTTTAGTGTCAAGAAATGTTAATGTAACTTTTTTTTTCTTTTATAAAATAATTTAACTTGGTACATGTGAAGGAACACAGTGCAGGCAGGTACATGCTTCTATGCTGTTCGTGTTTAAAAAAATGTGTAGCTGATTTCTTAAAGCCAAACTGTAGACAAATATAAAAAACGCAAATCAATGCAGCTCAGTTCATAAAAAAAAACTTACATTTATTTTTTCTAACGGCAAATGTTAATACCTGAATTTGATTTGGTATCAGCAGAGGCATATCTACAAACAAGTTGCGCCCCTGGTGTCCCACCCAGCTCCTGGCAACCAGCGACATTACTGGTTGCCAGGAGCTGAATGGTACGCCGGCCAGAGGACCCCATGTTGCTAAGAGCCAGTCCTAGAGATGTGTTTGGCCCTTACACATCTCCTGGCCCAGCTCTCAGCAACCAACACTGGTTGCCAGTAACTGGGTGGGGCGCCAGACAAAGCATCCCCCTGCAATGCATGTCCCCCTGCCCGTTTCTGCTTCAGGAGCAATGCTTTCTAGATCTGTTGAAATAGCGTTCCCTGGTAGCTCCAAAGCTCATGTGCCTGCTCTATGCAAAATATTTACTTTTGGAAAAGTCAAGGCTGAGGTCTGCCCCTGCACATCCCACAGTGCAATGGGGGCAGGCCTCAGTAACCTAGTGAGCGGTGTCGTGCAATGCATTGTGGGGTGTGATATAAGTAGGCCTCAATGCTGATGTTTCCAAAGGCTTCTTCAACTTTCATGGGCACCATAGGGGGCCAAAGAAGAGCAACATGCCGTACCGTAATACTGTGCATTGCGTTGCAGTGAAAATAAGTAGTGCATGCATTTTTTTCAATGCAATGCACATTGGTGGGGTACCACACGTGTCGCTGAAATGAACGGCGGCCAGGAGGTGCATTGGGGTGCCATTCAAATGAATGGCAACGCAATGCACCTAGCGCATAGTAATACAACGCTATGATGTAAATGGGCTCTTGTTAGTTGTTTTATTTCTCCAAGCTAGTAGATGGACAGATACTGGAGACTGTGTTGTCCCTTGTGCACCTGTACTGGACAGGAAGTTCAGGGAAGTTGAACTGAGACAGTTGGAGTCATCCCTTTTGGTAACATGATCACTAAGTGCTTCGGCAAAGAAGACTACTTTCCTAGGTAATGTAAATTTGTTTGATCTGGATTCATGTGGCCTGCACCCGGGTGGCACCATTGAAGGGGTGACACGAAAATGACTGACAGTCATTTTCGTGTCACCCCTTATGAAATGTTGGGCACTCTCTCATGGACTGAGAGCCCGACAGTGTCACGAGAGAGGAGGGAACCCGGCGGCATACCTTATCCTGCCGGGTGATCGTCCCTTGGGTGAGACATCTATTGTCTGCCACATACAATGCTGTTTTAACACCTCTCTCTAGGTGGGTTAATAATACCTGCTAGCTTTAGTTATGCAGATGCCATCAACACCTAACCATGACCCCATGCTGGTTATGATTAACAAATTATGTTGATTGGAGCAACATTCCCAATATTTATTCCCAGAGAATTTTTGTGCAAGTCATTGTGAATTGAGAAAGCTGGTTGGATGACCAGTGAAACGTCTTCAAGAAAAATACAGCAAGTCCAGTCGCTTTGAATTAATTTTTACAGATATACCATGAGCTGGATGAATGAGAACCTTCACTGGATAAAGGAATGCTTAGAGAGTATATGAAAGAGGAAGTGATGGTATTGGTTCTCTTAAACATTGCAAAATTTACAGTAAAACACGTCAATCTCATTCTGTGCTACAGGTCAAAGTGCACTTGTTTTTCATTGATCTGAAGCTAGGTCAATGAAAGGTGAATTAACTGGTTGCTATAGGATACTGCACTTTCGATGGCTATACCATCCTTGCCAAGGTCAGGTATGAGAAAGTGGAAGCTTCTTTAAGACATTTTTGCAAGCAATGCAAAAAGTTGGCCATGGAAACCCACTGACTTAAAGCCTATCTCTGGGGTGAAAACAAATAACCCTTGCAGAGGGGCTATCCTCACACTACAAGGGTTAACTGCTTGTTTGTGCCTAGTGATATTGTTACTTACCTTCTCCCTTCTCCCCCCTACCCCCGCTCCCACTCCCAGTTGTCCTTCTCTATTCCCTATGCTCTGTCAGATGCACTGTCCCTCAACATCCTTATCTATAATGCATATCTATGGACCCTGCATTATAAGTGATGACGTCAGCGGACCTCCGACCGCCATAGCATAGGGGGAACAGGTCTTGAAGCCTGCAAGAGTGGAGATCAGGTATGTAAATGTCCTTTACACAATACCTCTACACACGAACGAGCAGTTAACCCTTGCCGTGTGGGGGTAGCCCCACTGTAATGGTAGTTTTTTGGGTGGAATGGGGAAGAAGTTTATATTGCTGTATGTGTCCCCATTGGGTAGATTCCACCTCTCTATTTTTAATGGTGGCCATTATTACCGATTCAGTAAATGAGAAAAAATGAAATTTTAGAGTTGTCCCCAAAACACAACACTTGGGGAAATTGAATAGGGACACCTGGCCTGGGGGCAACTGTCTAAGAGAAGATTTCCACAAACTTTTTCTCATCTCTGGGACAGGAAGTGAAGGGAAATCTCACCAATGGTAATACACATAAAGCAAAAAATAAACTGGCAAGGGTTTTAATCCTTATCTAGTCTGCCCAAGACTAAAAAAACAACAATGTTTGGACTATACGTACACTTTTATGTGAGCTGGTGGATCAAAGGCATTACTCTTCGGTTGCCTTCTATCACTTTTGATCATGTGATCATGTTATCAATCAGCAGCTGTTTAAAAGTGTATGAAATTCCCTGAGAACTGTTACATGTGTGTCCAGAATTGGAAACCACAATCGGTCCCTTTCTCTTAAGAGGATCATTATTGTGTGCTCTTAGATAAGCAGGCATTAGAGGTGATTTGTCTGTATGTGCATGCATGTTTATGTCACCACCTCTATTAAACAAAGACTACTGGCAATCTAATCATTCCATTATATTGGGCTTCCCTGTAAAGCCTGCACCCAGCTTTGACAGCACTGTACACATTAAGTTCAGCCAATTATCTAGTAAGCCTCTGCACACTCCTCTAAACTTAACAATCGGTTTAGCTAATTCTTTATAAATGTTATATCTATGCTGCTTGAATGTAAAAACTATTTTTCTGTTCTTAAGAGGTTTATAATCGGCAAAATGCAGTTTGAATTTGTAATGTTATCCGAGGGTCATTATAATCCCAGGAGTGGAAAGCGAGCATATAGGAACCCCGCAAGATACATTTTATCTACTTGCTCTTGCTTATCTATATAATGTGGTTTTGCTGTAGTGCTTTGATCCAGATCTAAACACAGAATAAACAGGTTTCCGTATTATCCAACAGCATCAAACTGCAGCTCTGTGTGGCCACAATTCACAAGGGCGCATAACACGCTTTATTTAGCCCACTCTGTACGTTATAGCGTTTTACTGCTTCTAGTTTTATTGTAAGAGGTGATTTAACTGTTGCAGCAATGAAAAAGTAAGTTCTCAAAGTTTACTGCACAGATGATCACAGTGTGAAATAGCATTAGCTTCAGGCTGTGGATCTTTAGTAAGCTTCTATTGATCCAGGCAGGTAAAAGAGGTGTTTAGTAACAAAATAGCATAAAATAATAATTGATGAAAACAATAGGATGGTTAAATACCCATTTTGCACTGAAAAATATCAATGACACACCTAAGTGATGTGTATGTTAGTGAATTGAACATTTTTAGAAGGTTTCATGATATAAAATGAAGAGGAGTTGAAAAGAAACCCAGCTGCCTTAGTAAATTGAACCTTGTGTGCAGTGGTGTGCTAAATCAACAAATGTTTGAAAGAGCCCTGAGAACTGCTACATGTGTGGCCAGAATTAGGGACCACAATCAGTTTAATTCTGCTGCAAAATGTGTCTGCGACACGACACACAGAGTATGACCCCAATGAGCAGGTGCGTAGAGCTGTGCGGACAGGTAAAAATGAGAAAAGGAAAATGCACACCTGTAGTTATATTGGTAACCTTTAGAAAAATCACCTTGCAACTTACCGTAAAAGGGAGCGAACAGATAATGAAGGCGATGGTCATGATGGACAACAGGATGAGGTGGTCAATCTCCTCAGACATGGAAATCCTGTCCCGCTTATTGGCAGTAATGGAACCAATCCTACGGGTCTTCTGCCTCTTGTGCATCCTGACCAGACTGACAATGACCACGAGGTTACAGGTCAACACAGCGATGATGAGGATGAGAAGAAGGGTGGCATAAAGCATGGAGTAGACATTGCTGAATTTGGAATTGGTATTTCGACTTTTCATGTCAATGAAGCACCATGTGCCAGGACAGTATTGGATAAACTCCCCAAAGCCCATTAACGGGAAGAGGCAAAAGAAGATACAGAAGCCATAGATGATCGGGAAGGTGATGACCCCGCACCGCTTCTTGATGAACCTCTCGTAGAAATAGGGGTGTCCAATGGCCAAGGCTCTCTCTAAAGCCGTAGCAAAGAGGATCATCATGGTGGCCAAGCTGAAAAAAGTCATAGCAAATGCAAAATAATCACAAAGTTTCATTTCGATCAACGAAAGCCCCCTGGCGTAAGAAGCCATGACCACAGGGCTGATCATACAGGTTCCGAGTAAGTCTGTGACCACTAGTCCAGAGACAAGAATGAAGAACAGAGAAATATTCCCTCGGAAATCCCTGCGGCGAGTCTCCAGCAGCACCAGCGCAATCACGTTTCCCACCACGCCAGCAGAGAACATCACAGCAGAAATGACTGGGCTTTCGCCAGGGTCTAAGTGGGTACGGTTTCTGCAGTCTGTTTGCTCAGTCATGCTTTTAAGCGAAGCTGGACTGAAAATGTAGCCCTAAGAGTACGCCACTGCTAGGTCATCTGGTCTTCCCCTATGGACACACAGCAGCACATGTAGACTTGAAACTTGGGAGAGCAAGACTTGCCTCAGCCAGGGCAAAGAGGGAAGCCTGTGACATCATACAAAATTCTCACTCCTCCCCAGAGCACACAGGGAGGGAGGAAAGAAACACAGAGGCACAAGGCTAGATGGACCACTTGAGCTGTGTATGTTTCGATATCCTAAGACTACAAGAAGGCAAAACTGAAAAGTCTGAAGTTTATCAAGGACACTTACACTGCTCACGGCCACGTTTCCAGGGTCAGCAATCTTCTGCAAAGCCAAGGTGCTGCTTCTGGTATCCCTTTGTGACAAATGAAAAGTGCCTCAACAGTTGCATGTGAAACAAATCCACGCTGCTTCTAGTCCCTCCCAGATCCTTACCCACAGCAAGTTCCCTGCCTATAGAGTGAGCAACATCAGTCTGGTCTCTCTTCAAAGGGAGCACTGCAGTGAATGGCTGCAGTATTGTATGACTCTTAGACCTGGGAAAGTCTGTAGCTGTAGGCAGCTGAAAAAAAGTCATTTCCAGGATTCAGCTTTCCAGCCAAAATATAGCAACTTACGGAACTTTGATTAACAGAGATTTGAATCAATCCCTTAAGTGAAATTTTATTTTGTACTTTTTTTTGTATGTAGGTTCTGATCTACTGCTGGCTTGTATATATAGATGAGACATTCTGCTGCAGAAATACATACAATACATACACAATAATTTAATTAAACAAATATTTTTTAACAATGAACAAAAAAATAGCATAATACAAAATGTATTTTTTTTAAATGTTGGTGATGTATTTATATATGTTACTTAAACATGCTGGCAGCCATACATGGAACGCATTTCAGCTGGTTCTTAAAGAAACCTTGTCGGCACTCTCCCGTCTGACATCCTGCAATATGAAAATCGAAGGAGTTGGGTGGAAAAATTCTCAGCTGGAAAATGGCTGCAGCCAATCGGGAATAAAGTCATTTTTCTTTTTCAGCCCACCAGAAAAAACATGGTGTATGGCCAGTTTAGGGTTAAACTGGTTGTTTTTTAAATGTTTTTGTTGCAGCTAAACTAATAACATTTGTATTCGATATGATATAGAAGTAATCTAATTTGCACCGAAGGGAATACCCTCACTTTAGGAGCATGATATGAATAATGTAGCTAATACAAAGGGGCTAAAATTCCCAATGGTGTTACAGATAGAATTGATTTGGAGATGAGCTCAATCTTTGAAATATATTGAATTTTTCAAAACTCTTGGATTAAAGTTTATTATTATTTTATTATTATTATTATATTAATACTATTATTATCATTATTATTAATAACATTAATTTAACAGTCTATTTTAAAAGCTGCTCCGCCCAAAATGGATCTTTCTGTTGGGTAGAGCTAAAAAAGGGTTAAAGGGTCATTACACTTTTCCGGGGGAATTTGGGAAAATGGAATTACTCCCTCCAATCTTGCCCCCTCTCTGTTATACTTACCTTTGGCCAAATGCTCCTTTCCCTCCAGGAGTGCCGGTGCACTATCAGTACCCGTACTGCCATGTAGTACAGCCCAGCGCACTGGGTTTTGAATTTCTCTCCCAAATGGCACGTACTCATTGTTCAGCATGGTCACCTGACGGCACTGACCAATGAGAAGCACTTATTATCAAGAAGCGCGTTTCTCATTGGTTAGTGCTGTCAGAAGCTATGTGGAGCTCCTCCTTTAAATGTGTTTGGTACCTTTACAAAGAGCACTCCGGCTTGATGAGTCCTCTACCTTGGGTCTTGGCATTGGTGAAGTCTGGAAGACTATCCTAAGTCCACTCCTTGAGCCCAGGGTATCTGGATTGACCAGTGGACCATTGTGCTGGCTCTCTGCTTTTACGTGCCTCCCTGTGCTCCCACCAAGTTCTGGCAGGGAGGGGAGGTGTCCCCCTTTTATGTTGGATAGTCCCCTTGTGCTATGTGTGCCTCGCATTTGCCCTCGGTCCCCTGGAGAAGCATGTTGCGAAAAGCATTGGAATCGCTATCTGCCACAAGATATCCTCAAGCATACAAGATTCTAATGTTTGCCAAACATGCTGTGTAATGGTGTGGAGGACATTATGTAATTATAAGGGGAACACATTGAGAAAAGGGACCTTGTTTTTTATGATTAGGATATACCATTTTAACTTGTGGTCACAATAAATGAAGTTATTTATAATTGATAAAAAAAAGTACATGTCTCCTTAAAACCTCCAATGTTTTGGATTTTGTGTCAATTTCTAGTGACAACTGTAACATTTTAGATTACCCCTCACTTCCTGTCCCAGGGACAGCGATCAATGGATCAAAAACTAAGGGTGAATTTCCCCAGCAGGGACCCTGTCAGAAGGAAAACATTTGCAGATTTTCTAACCCTTCCCCACTCTCTCCTAAACCAGAAGGAAAGCTTTGGCAGGAGTTTCACGTTAAGTTAAACAGCAGAGTTATCTTTATGACAAATAATGTGAAGGTGTGCCTGATCAAAGTTCACAGATTGGGTTTGTTCCAGCAGTTTTAACCTGGCGATTATAGCAGAACTCCAGCCAAAAATTAGATAAAATGTAATAACCCATTAAAAGATGAAAGAACAAAGCCAGCTTTTTCTGCTGCAATCAGCATCAATCCAAAGATTTACCCTGCAGTAATTTTTCCTGCCACTAGATGGCCTCAGTCTGGTGGTCAGAATCATTCAAACCACTTCCTTTGAGCCAAGGTTCTCCTGGACCTGCCTGTGGCTGGGCAGTGAAAGGAGAAGCGGCATAGTGAAGAGCTCATCTTTCTATCACTCTGCTCTCTCCTCTTATCAGAATGCTTCTTGGCAGCACATGAACTGATTGGTACTGTGTGCTGCTTCTTCCTCTCAAAATCCAGCTCTGCTGTAAGGGGGCTACAAGTTGCTAATATCAGGTCATATTCAGGTACTTCCAGTGGTTGAATTTTATATTATTAATAATTATTTAAAAGCTGCATTCATCTGTTTCTTTTTATGAGTTCAGTTCTATTTATTTAAATGTTCAGTTCTATTGCAGAAGCTGTGGTAATAATTTTCCCTGTTATTAGTTCTTTATCATGACAACAGTAATGAGTGTAATCTCGTTCATCTTACAGAAGCTCACAAGCGTGTAAAGGAGCGTCAGAGGTGTGAGAATGCTTTCCCTTATCGTAACAAATCACACATTTCATAAAGGGTCTGAGTCACCTACACTGTGTGGGCGAGACTCCTTCCTGCAGTCTTTATAATGCTCGGATTGTTGGGGCTCGTATGAAACGTCACCTTTTCCCTACAGCAACCTTTTCAACTATTATTATACCATGGACAGACCCTTGAAATCATTTTCAGTTCTCGGAGAACTCCTGCTTGAAATGCAGTCTGCAACAGGAAGTACATGATCAGCAGATATAATAATAAAACGAAAGGAGATGTGGTGCACCTAGTTCATTTGACACCCAAAGTGGATCATTTTTAACACGCCCCTCAACTTTTGCATGCATCATATGCAGACTACATAATGAGTGCTCTTCTAGTGAAAAGAAAGTTCGCTGGCTGTATTTAATGATTTTGTTTAACAGCTTCCTGCATGAAATCTGAACTCCAGACAAAGAGCTGAATACGCAGATGAAATGCATACAATGAAGCTATTTTACCTTCTAAAGGATTTGTATTTATGTCCAACCAATCCAGAGATTTACACAGCTCTGTCCAATAGCACAGCCCTGTTTGTCGAGATCGGGGACCTGATTGTTCTTTGCTGCAGTTAGGCCTGGTTCACACCTAGGTGTCACCGTTAATGCAAGTTTGTACGCGCATGAGCAGCATGCAGTTATTTTCGCGTTTATGCTCATTGTGCACATTTCTACGCGCGTGCATGAAGATGCACGGGCAATGGAAGAACGCACGTTTAAATGCGCAAAAACGCTCACGAAAATGTGCAACATGCTTCTGACGGGCGTTTTTGGGCATTTCCATTGAAGTCTATGGGGCAAAAACGCACTTTTAACTGCCCAAAGAAGCTCGTGTCCCTTTTTGGGCGTTTGGCTTTTTCCTGCTGGCGTTTTTCTGCTCAGGTGTGAACCAGGGCCATTGAAAATCATGGGATGTGTTCGGTATTTAAAAGCGCTTTTCCAACTGTATTATATACTGTGGGGTGGGAAGGTTTGAAATATATATAAATCATCAATAAAGCTTTGATTTGTTTATAATGGAGGGTCCCCTATTAATTTGTTAACAAAAACGATTTTTCCCCGAAAAAGGGGATCCCATCACTATTTCAAAACTTAATATACTAATAAATTATATAAAATACGAATCAAGGCCGAAACTTTTTTCTCTCTGGGATCCTCAATGCCAGCCATTTATATATTTTGTTTGGCAAATTTATATAAATATATACACACTTAAATGTTATAATCCTTTTTCCGTGTTGTTTAACTATTTTTGTTGAAATAACACATTTTCAGCATTTTTTTACTACTTATGATACTGACCACACTTCCTGTCTATGAAATTGTGTCCTGTGGACACACACACAGGAAAATTAGTTTTTTTTGTTCGTTTTTTTATGTTCACCTATCTTCAATTAAAGTAATTATGTCAAACACTTAAATAGGAGGATTCAAGCCCTTGCCTAACAATTCCCTTCTGACGAAGCCCCAGTGGGGGGTGAAACGCGTCATAGGCGTGGGCTAGGTGTTTTGTGTATGACTGCTATGGCCGAGGCCGCCCTGATTCCTTCACATCTAACAAACAACCAGAGGACTTGATTGGAGATAGCACAGAGTTTCGGAGTTGGAGAAATTTCCTTTACCAATTTTCAGTTTACATTCACACTTATATACCATTGGATCCAGCCACATAGGATCTCTCTTTGGATTGAAGCACAACCAGGAAACAAATCAAAACAGCTGTTCAGTAAAGGCCTGCTTATGCAGCAAACAGAAGAGCCGAGATAGAGTTATTATCTCCTGAACCTACTGCACTTTATACAGATATTCGTTATCCTGGACAAGCTAACCATCCTGATGCTATAATCTCCATTTCAGGAGAAAAACAGAATTCCTCAGCAGGATTTCAATCCCCATTGGAGCAACTGACCCGCTAATATCTTCTTTCCATTTTGGAGAAAACCACCCCTACAGATAAGCATGTGTTCAGCAAAGGCATACATCTGCGGCTGGGAGTAAAAGC